AAGGAAAGACCCATTCCTAAATACCATGGTTTTCTAATTGTTCCCTTGACAATGAGAGTTTGGAAAGGATATGACATTGATTTCATTTCATTTTTAATAGATTTTATATAAAACTTCAATTTTTACTAGAGCTACCTTTCCTCAAACTATAAAAGAATAGCAAGATAGACCAAGATCCACACTTTCACAAATACTGTCATATGGTTAGGAAAATAAAAGAATATACAATTATACAATGTTCATAATAAAAGGAAAACTTGTTGAAAAAAAATATATAAGAACAAATAACGGACAAAAAAACCATTAGAGGGAAAATTGCTTCCCAACTTCTTATATTTGAACAAAAAATGCATACATCAGCACTACAGAAGGACATTGATACAAATATTATGAACATCTTTGATTATCAAATTCATAGACTCATGAAGAATCTGAACTGAACAAAAATTTTAAATAGTAAATGAGACATGAAAAATGGAATTGACAGGTTTGTCCCATCCCTTAGGTCAGTGGTGGCGAACCTATGACATGCATGCCAGAGGCGGCACTCAGAGCCCTCTCTGTGGGCACGTGCAATGCCACTACCAGCAGCTTCCACAGGTCCATTAGGCCGCCACCGCCGCCCAGAGCGACAGCCCCACCCAGCACAAAGGAGGTGAAGTGGCCAGCTAGCAAGCTCAAGTAGAGGTGGTAGAGCACGCCGACACCCAGCAAGCCAAAGGCCACCCCAAGCAGGGAAAGCCGGATCCCCATCAGTGCCATGGTCCCCCAGTCCCAGCTAGGATTATGTGCCTCCCCCACCTATGCTGGGCCTCCTGCCCACCACCCCACCCGCCAGAGATCCTCTGGATCTCCCCCAACCCTGCCCGGCCCCCACAGGCATCCCCCCCATGAGCAACATCGAGGTGGCCATGCCCACCCCAGCCATGGTCACCCAGTCTGCCGTGACAACTGCAGCCATGCCCACCCAGTGGGCCATGCCCCCATGCCCCCCCTTAATTGTTACTCTCATCTGAGCACACAGAGTTCTTGGTTCTCTGTGTTATGACCTATTTTTCCATAGTTAGAGATGTAGTCTATTAATATTTCACTTGCTATCAAGTGTGTTACAATTGAAGTTAAGAACTTCATATCCAAGAAATGTGTTTTCACTGAATTAAGAACATGGTAAATATTCTTATAGTCATTTAAGAAAAGTTATTTGAAGACCATGTTTAGCCATTTCCCCAGTTTTTGATGGACTACTTCAGGCATTTAATTTATTTTGATTTTATTTTTTATTTATTTATATCTCACCTTTATTATTATTTTACAAATAACCTTTATTATTTATTATTTTACAAATAACTCAAGGTAGCAAACATATCCAACACATCTTCCTCCTCTTATCTTGCCCACAACAAAAACCCTGTGAGGTGAATTAGGCTGAGAGAGAGTGACTGGCCTAAGATCACTCAACTGGCTTTCATGGTTAAGGCAGAACTCGAATGCACAATCTCCTGCCTTCTAACCTGGTGCCTTAACCTCTAGAGCAAACTGGCTCTTAAGATAGGGTTGGATTAAAAAAAAAAAATTAAATTCACCACATTCAAGACACTGGTGTCTGAAAACGGGTATGTCTTTGCAGTTGAACTTTTTAAATTAATTGTGTTTCCTAGGTAAATATTTAGATGGAAAATGCAGATTGACTGCTGTCTTGAATCTTCCATGAAGCTTATTGGATGATATTTGGCCATCTACTATTTCTTAGCTTAGCCTTACATGCTGGTTTGGTGTAAAAATGAAGTAAAAATGATTTACTTTGAGGCAAGATGGGAAATATATGCACATACGAATGGCCTTCTTAAGATTTTATTTAATGATGATTTAATGATTTTATTTCAATGTAGTACTTAGGTCTATGTCTTGGTTGTTCTGGGTAGGATCAAAATATTAAAATAAATAGAAAATAATAAAATATTTGGCAACATCATTAGAAAATAGATGTGTTATTTATGAGAATTTCTTGACTAGATGAACATTATGTTAGAAACTTCAAAGTCCATTTGGAGCAGTTAGAGGCGCTTGCCTGATACCAAAACCTCTAATCTTCTTTCATTGGCTTCAGACTCTTTTCCCATCTGTTAACTATCATATTCCCTGACAAACTCAAGATGAAAAATAGAGAAGACTTGAGATAGGTAACAAAAATGTATCCATTATTCTCAGTTTTTAATTTTTCACATCTCCAATTCATTCTACTCATTTTTATAAGCCTGCAGCTATTTAATATGTCCTTGCCTAATATAGAATATACATATTTATTGCAACCAATATTTCATAATATTTTTCCATATTTTCCACAAATATAGACATTGTAGGCACACACACACATATATATGTATGTATATACACACACATGTGCATACACACATACTCACACAAAAACACACCCACAATGTTTCTTCATTTTATAAAACACTGGAGAGTAAATAAACATCAAGCATATCATAATAACTTAAGTAAAAAGATGAGGCAGAAAGCTAAAATGCAAAGCTCTGAGAAGTTCAGATATAAAATAATAATTTCATTTTGGTAAATTTATTGCACTAAGAACTGCAAAATTGTTAATGTATTGATAAAATTGTTCTCTATAGCTACTACAAAAAAATGACCACCAATGAAGGTCACCAATTATATAAGACGCTTCCTTGAATGGCCCAAGCTACACTCCATGATTTTTGTCCAAGACCTAAGGAGTCATCAAGTCATCAACAACAGTATGAAGATCTATACAAACAGAGATCTTTCACATTGTTTGTGATCTTTGTTTTTTCTTTTAAGTAAAGATTCCCAAGGTTAGAACTTGGTAATGTATTATCTCCTGTTGATTTAGCTGAACCCCCATAAAACAATTGTTTCATTTCTGGTAATTGGAGAATCCATTAAAAAAATCCAGGAATTGTAGTTAAAGACATTATGTCTTATCTAAGAAATCTTGTTAGAATGCTTCGATTATAGCAGTTAACTAAACAACTCATTGTAAAATAATAGATTTTCCAGATCTTGTACCTCATGACTAAGTATGATTAGTCATGAGGTACAAGATCTGACTAAGTGAGGTTAAATTAAGTTAAATTGGGAAACAATAGAGAAGGAAAAATTAATTGACCACCCCATATATTCACATGTAAATCCAAATCTCTCTTTGTCGTTTACACATATCCACACACTCAAAAACACACCCAAAACATTGCTTCTATTATTTGCATAAAGATATTAGAAAGCTGTTTGTTCATATTTTCTATAGTACTACATTTTCCTTGACAGAATCACAGATGTGGAAAATCGTCTATGATATGATTGACAAGATATATTGTATTAAAACCAAAGAAAGAGAATCAAGCATGGACTCCATATTAAATAGCTATTCTGTATTTATTTATCAAACTAAAAAGCAATGCCGCAAGTCTTGGACCAATCTCTTTTATATTTTTTCTTTTACAGGATTCAAAGATTGAGCCTTATTCTTCTAAGACCAGCCCACTTCTTTGCCCCTTCCATTTTTCACTTTGCCTATCTCATTTTTCGGAGTCTAACCATTGGTGTTTTAAACAAAACTTGAATGTTCTGTTGGCTCAGAACAGTTTGCTCACTTCTGATTTAGTGTAACCTTAAAGGTATAGCTATTTCTTCATAAAATTTGATTTGTTTCCTTACGGATACAGACATGTAAACTATTTTAATACGATCTACCTTTTATTGGCCAGCAGTTATTTTTAAACTCTCACATTTCTGATTATCATTTTTCTGTCGCCATAGGAACCCTATTGCAAAAAGTTTAAATATAGAATTTTTTCTATTGAAGGCACATGCAATTGCTCCCTGATCCTTTTATTATTTGAATTGTAAAGAATGGAATTAAATTTCTAATAACTGAGCAATGTGCTGCAGAAATATATTATCTGAAGCAGCATTGTATAATACTGTAACATAATGAATTTCACTGTAAAAATGAGCTTACTTTTTAAATAGAAATTGGCTGTGAAGGTAACACAGCTAAATATTGCATTGCATTACTTTTCCTATGCAGCTATGGAGAATGAATAAGCATGCAATTATATCTGCTTTGTGCAATGGCTTTGGGAAGGCATAGTGAATGGGTGGAAATACCACACAGAATGCATACTATATGAATTTACACAAAATATGAAGAAACAGCCAGAAGCATCAGATGTCCATTGTCAGTAAACGAGATAGAACACTTGAAGGAAAAGCCATGCAAAAGAATTTTATAACAAAGAAGTTATGGAAACAGTTAAAGAAATATGTATTTTGGTCCTGTTTCTGCCATGCTTCACCTCTCCATCTTCCCAGGAAAAGTTTGAAAAAAAAAGCTGTAGTCTGTAACAGTATTGGATTTATGGCATTGAGTACCTGATAGTGTGAAACATTAATATTCAACTTTCAGCTGAATTCAATCACAATTTCCTGATGGAAGAACTTGGGAATCAAAGATGAAGAACCAGAGCAAGTTTGTGCAAAGCAGGTACAGTTGGTGTTTTCCTTTACTGTTTTACTTTGAGCACTGGATATAGCAGAATCAGCTTCAGGGTAAAAGCAAAGTACTAATGGTGACATCTTTGGGTTTGTGAATGTTGATGCAAGGCTGCTCATTCTTGTCTACATTTTCACTTTAAGGCAAATATGCAGAAAACACCTGAGGGGCCAAAGAAGTGGCTAAAACAAGGCAGAGCAGCTGCTCCCAGTATGGAAGGGTGTCGTTTTCTGCCACTTTGCTTCACAGATATGGGTGAATTGCATCACCCATGAGCAGCAACACCATAAAAACTCAATGCTGTTTTAAATGTCTTATACTGTATTGCCTCTAAACTCTATTTTTATATTTCAACCCCTTGTTTTTGAATCATGCATTCATCATAATAAAACGATTTCAAGAATAAAAATGAAAATTGCATGTTTACACCACTAGTATATTATCTAATGTTCAAATGGCGTACCTTCTCTGTATCGATCCCTTTAGACATTGACCATGTGGAGACAATATAATCCATGACACGTTCACTAAGGCCTTTGGGGACTTGGTATAACTTTAAGAAATCCCTCACATTGTTCAACATCTCATGGTAGCGATTGGTGTTGGCGTACATTTGTTGGAAAATTGTAGTGACGTTTCCAAAAATAGTTGCATAAAGAAGAGCTGGAAGAGATCCAAAAGAGTAATTAAAAACCAGCAAAGAGACACAAACTGCCAGCAGTTTAATCAATGCTAAAGCTTCCTTCATTATTTCATCAAACATTTTGGTTGCAGTCAATTTGATGCTGAGCTGAGCTAGGGAAATATATTAATGGCAATTCTGGAGCAAGATGCAAGTGGAGAGAGTAGATTAAGAAAACACATGAGGAAAGTTATTTAGAGTGCCACGAGTTCACAACAGACTCATCAGATATTCTATAGCTCTCAGATACCGACAGATAGAATGAAGCCTAAAAGATAGAGCTTGGCAGGCCAAGGACTGAGATCTGATAGACTAAGGCAGAAGTAAGTGATGGTCAGATCAGTGGGAGAATGTAATGGGGCTTACTCATTCAATGGTAGGAACAGATAAACATAAAGATAAAGCAGAATGAATGACAAAATTTCTCAGTCCAGATTGGAGCTTCCTGCCATTCACACTAGCTTTTCATTCGGAGGTGATGTTTCATTTTCTGGAACTGCAATTTGAGAGTCATTTTGACATCACTGGGTACCCGTGCAAATCTTTCTGGATGATGATGATGATGATGATGATGATGATGATGATGATGATGATGATGATGATGATGATGATGATGATTAAAATCTGAATTTAACCAGCCATGTTTGAAGATACATATTGAACTAGTTTACACATCTACGATGTCTCCTTGAAACAATAACATTATTTAATTAAATGTTATTGTAACATTGTAAAAAGAATATTATTATTATTTCAAGTTAGGAAGTTGCTCATTGTTTCAGAGGTCCCTGTCTTCAGGGTTTCAGATAGTCATCAACTTATGACTGGTCACTTAGCAATCATTTAAATTATGGCAGACCCCCAGAAAAGGTACCTTTGATTTGAATTCAAAGTTCCAATGGTCATATGACTGCATTTGGAGCACTTGGCAATCAGCCCACATTTATGACCATTTGTAGCATCCCACAATCAGATGATCTCAATTTACATTTTTTATCTGAAACCAGCGTTGACTTCTAGTTTCTGGCAAAAAATGTCCATAGTGAACAATGGGTTCACTGAACAACTGCAGAATTTACTTAACAAACACAGCATTTGCTATACAACCACCAAGGTTGTAAAATTGAGTGTGGTCACATGATAACCTGCTTAATGACCAGCACAACTTACGATCGTAAGTGAAGATTCAATTATAGGTAGTCAAGGACTACCTATAATAAAGTACTGATCGGGTCCGCAACTTGGGTGTTCTCCTGGATTCACGGTTGACATTGGACGACCAGTTGTCGGCCGTGACCAGGGGAGCGTTTTATCAGGTTCGCCTGATTCGCCAGTTGCGGCCGTTTCTGGACCGGGACGCCCTACGCACGGTCACTCATGCCCTTGTGACTTCCCGCCTGGACTACTGCAATGCTCTCTACATGG